AGTATGACCTCCAACGAGTGGTATTGGTCCTTGCCCGAGATCCAAACCCAGGCCGCCAAAAGGAGCACACCAAACTTAATCACGAGGCCATGGGACCAGCTCCTTGAATGTTTTAATTTCAATTTTTTCTTTTTCCATTTTTGTTTTCCTTAAGGCATTATTTGTTGTATTTTTATTCTTGTATTTCTCCCAATTTCATCTCCATTTATGAAAACAATTTTCCTTTTATTTCTATTTACTGAATTCTATCACTTAAGCCTTGACTTTTATTTTGAAGAAGAAGAAGATTAGCCCTGAGCTAACTACTGCCAGTCCTCCTCTTTTTGCTGAGCAAGCCTGGCCCTAAGCTAACATCCATGCCCATCTTCTTGTACTTTGTATGTGGGATGCCTACCATAGCACAGTGTGCCAAGCGGTGCCATGTCCGCACCCGGGATCCAAACTGGCGAACCCCGGGCGGCCGAGAAGCAGAATATGTGCACTTACCCGGTGCACTACCGGGCCTGCCCCGGCTTTTTCTAATTCTTATTTACGTTGTTCTTTCATATCTCATGTCATTTCCTAAATGACTGTTAGCTCGTTTGGAAATAGTAGTTTTCACGTGTTTTTCATGCGTGTCTTTCTGCTGCACTTTTTTTGTCTATGGGGATGTTATTCTGAACTTCATTTTCGTTTTCCTCATATTATCCTTTTGTGGGATTTGAATATGATTCCTTTCTTTGCTTATTTTTCTATGAAATCAAGTTTCATGAACTTTTAGAAGGAAGTGTGGCTGAGGATTATTTTTTTCTTAATTTCATTTTCATGGGCCAGGGTTCTCTTTTTTTTTTTCTTTGAGTTTTCGAAAATATAGCAGCTTACCTCATGAGATTTACTGGATTCCTTTTCCTTCCCCTTTGTTTATGGACCCTCCCTTTTTCTCCATTGCAATTTTTCTTGATTTGCTCAATTTGGACACTCTTCCCACCAGTTTCTCTTCAGCACAGGGAATTATCCTGAAGGGAGCTTTGGCTTGTTAATGATGAGAGTTCGTTGGACCAAGACTGCAGCAGCCCCCAGACCTCTCCAGGACCCCTCCATTCACCTGCTTTTGGAGTATGCAAAATCCTCCTCCTCTCAGGTTTAATATTCCATTTTGGTGTTCTAGAGTATGCCATACACCCCAGTTTTACCTTCTGCTTCCTCCTATAAGATGCTGATATCACACAGGTCCTGCAACTTCAGTCACTGGACCCCACCTCTTCATAGTTTAAGGTGTGTGGATAGAACTTATCACTTAATTTTACTGACCATATTTGTCTATATGCTTCTGACTTTGCTCTCCTTGTTGCACTGTGATGTGCAAAGAACTTTTTTTTCACTTCTGTAACCATCTCCTCGGAATCTCTGAGAATTTTATTAAACATGAGAGGCATGAGTAACAATTCTTCAGGCCCGGATCTTTCTCCCATCGAGGTTTTCTCATCCCTTTTCAATCTTTGAGAATCAGGGTTTAATTTCATTAACAATTTCCTTACAAAGCATTGCAGTGGTATTTTGTGAATCTTTTTACCCAATTTTTCCAAACAAGAAAATTCAAGTTCATAGCTTGTATATCCATTTTATCTCATGAAAGATATAGAGAGAAACAGCAGAGTTACTGACAGTAGGGCTAGTCAGCTAAATGAGGGAAAAACCGTTTTGAATTATCAGATAAACTCTGTAACAGAATAAAGGCACTGGGTTTCTCTATCTGATGGCGGGCTGACAAGGCCAGGCCTTGGAGTCATGCTCATCTCCAGACAAAAAATTTGCAGAGTGACTTAAATTCACAAGTATCTGGATTTATGCCAAGTTTTATTAACCTGTGATTGTTAATAGTTCTATGTTAGTGAGAACAATATCAAATTATACATTCTTATTTGGATTTATTTAAAATATTTCATCTAACATTTTATATGGGTAAATTAAAACTCGTGTATTGATATTTTTGTTAATATAATGATGGAGTCAATTGTACTGGGAAATGTCTTCAATATTTTATAAGAAATGTGTGATAATTAGTGAAAAGATAAAATTCTCTTTTTATCAGATATAAAAGGGGTCCCTTTGGGGACCCCTTACATTCATGCAATATGATCATAGTCCAGGGTTGACCATTTGTCTGCTAATGGCAGCTTAAAAAAATCCAGTCTTATTGCTCAGGAGAACCAAATTGTGCTACACAACAAATATTTATTATTTACATACTGTACAGTGGATACAGAACAAGCCTTTCAATGTCAAAGAAATTTAAGACATGGACTCTCTCTTCAAAGATCCTATGGGAAGAATGCACACACCTCCATATGTGTACAAGTACAGTGGAAATGTTTGCTAGATTAGGTGATTCCATCTGTATGGGTCCAAGGATGTCAGTGGAGGCTCATGGAAGCAATATCTGATTTGATTTTGAGAGGTGAAGACAAATATTCAGGTTGGGCCTAAGGGTAAAGGCCTTGTTGCTAGAGAGAGCAAAAGGTGTGAAGGTACAATATCATAAGGAAGGATTGAACTTTAAGGTAAGTGCTGGTTTTCGAAGGTAATAAGTTAGAAAATCTAGTCTCATAAAAAGGCTTATGTTCCAGAAACTAATCGGTTCTTATTGGCCCTCTCCTTCCCTAGCAAATAAACTTTAGCTGTATAACCTTGACCTTTATAATGAAACTGGTCCAAAGTTGACTTTGGGTTAGTTACCCACACATCGCTTTCTCACTTCTTTATTTAGGAAATTGACAATATGTCTTTCCATAAATACTCTGGAGGAGAGGAGATCTACGTTTGTATTTAAGAAGTCTTGATCCAATAACGAACTCATCCAGATGTAAACTGCCTTTGCCATTCTTTTTGTTGTTTTAGCCCCACCCTCCTCTCCCCTGTGACCAATTCATTATTTTATGAACTTCCTATAAATATCTAATAGAGAGAAAGACATAAGGAGAAACACTAACCCATCTATCACTTGTTAGCAGTGCCAGGACAAATTTTATAAGGTGGAATGTGAAAATACTAGTTTGGATTGTGTTTGTGGATTTCAGTCACCCACTGTCCTCTCTTTGCCTGTTTCTATGGATAAAGAGTTAGTAAGAGATTTAGCTGCAGTGTTGGTTTTCAATATCTTAATTTCTAGAAAGTGATTATTAAAGTCTACATAGTTGTGAATGAAGGGTTAGGCTCCAGAAGATATTTTAAAACCATGTCTAGCAGAATTAGAGACTGATAGACTGCGAGGTCTGAGGGCAAAAGTTCTTAAATTTCATCAAATAGCACCCCTAACCACCCCACCCCCCTTTTCTCATCCAGGTCTAGATGAGGAACTAAGATATAGAGTATATAAGTGAGTGGTTCAAGGTTACATAGTAATTTGTGTATGCATGCCTGTGTCTGTGTGTGATATTTTCTCTTTTGCTTTATTTAATGGCTTGGACTAACAAGGTATGAAAGTCCTTACCCATATTCACTTGATGCAGACATTAACTGATTTTTTTATAGGGTGGAAAAGCAATAGAACACTAATCAAGAGTATCTACCAAGATATCTTCATTTTCTTTCTCTGGCAAATCACTAAGTTACTATTCCCCATCATGAAAACAAACAATTGAATTAATTGGTGAACTGGTAATAAATTATTGGTAAGCATTTGGTGTGGGATTCATTTGCAGGTAATTAGGAATAATTACCTGTTTTCCGTGGCCCTTCTTGATCATCTAGAGACAATTTGATACAATTAAAATCTAAAACTACTTTACAAGTATTGACAGATTATCCAACTATAAAGTCACATGGATCGCAAATGTGTTTCAATGCCTCTGCACATTTAAAATTAGTGGAAAAATTTGTGGCATTTTTCTGCATATTTTAGTGCAATCATTATAATTTTGATTAACAGTCAGGATTCAGTTTATACTTTGTGTTCTTGCTACAATATCTGAAAAAGTAAAAGGAATAAAAAATAAATAAAATATACCAATTATGGAAATGATACTTTGGTGACCTTAATTCAAAGACTTTATTTCTCCTGTGGTTTAAGCACCTATGTGCCTCTTTAGATTTCTGGGTCTGGAATTGTGTTGTTGTGACCATATTTAATAGTATTTATTGAAAAACTACTGTGTAAAATATATGCCAAGATTTTCAGGGAGTGACATGGAAAGTGGAAATTATGATCTATCATGCACTCAAAGAGTTTATAAAGAGGGGAGCCAGGGTATAAGAAAGAAAGACAGTATTATAAGGGCAAGTGTAGCAGATAAGTATATGTGTGTGTATAGGTGTTTACAAGTAAATTCTGTAATTTCTGAGCATGAGTGGAAGGTTGCTTAGGAAGGAAGAGAAGAATTTATCATTATTTCAAATAAAGACTGTCAGTGATGAAGCCCTGATTAGTGCTCTAAAGAAAGGGCAGCTTAGGATTTAGGACAGTTGAAAGATTATTCTAGTAGGAGGAGCTTGAAGTCCACTGTGGGTAGAGCATTTGGGTGAGACGTGGCAGGCAGGTTTACCTGGCTCAAGGACATTATATGAGTTGAGGCTATAAGAGGTACATGTGGACCCATGTGATATAATAATTTTCTCATTAAAATGTCCTATGTGGTTATTTCTATTGGGCTAGACAATATGAGGACACAGGGACAGTGTCTTCCTTTTTATATTCATCTAAACATTCAAAATTCATTAATCTCTTGCTACATGACAGACTATATGAAAGTACAGATGTGTGCAATTTATTAAAATAGTTGCCGTGTGCCTAATTACACATGGGAGATAGAAATGTAGGCTTCAGCATAACATAGGAAAAGAAAGAGTTGTCAAGTGAACAAAACAAAAACTGTTTACAGTGACTCACAGAATGGTTTTATTTTCTAAACATTGTTTAACACTCTCGATCCTTTCTTCCCTGTATACATACATACAGATAATCAATATAATTTATCAGCTAACTCAGAGTCTTTCTAACTCTCCCTGCCCTTTGATTTCTGTAGTCATGTGATCCCCACACAATGCAGAGAAGAACCCGGCATCTGCTGAGGCCCTCGCTGAGCTCAAGGACATGTGCTGAAGACTCACAGGTGCGGCCTTGCCTCCTCAATGAAAACTGCTTCCAGTTCCAGTACAATCTAACAGGTACAGTTGAAATCCACAATCATGCCACTTTCCCTGAACATTGACTAACAGAGGAATGTTTGCATGTGTTTTGATTCTCCAGATTAGGGAATGAAAGTAGGGTATGCGAGTATATTGCACAGAAGTCTAAGAATTTGACATTTCCAGTGTCTCTTTACAGAAAGAAATGCCCACACTTGGCGTGTAGATTCAGCAAGGCCACCTGGAATCTCTGAATTCAGAGAGGCTTAGAAAGACTTGGCAAAGTTTCAAAATAAGGTTGAATTAAAGCCATGATGAATTGAAACAACAAAAATAAGTAGCCGGGGATAATTTACCATTCAGGAAAGAATGTAATCATGCTGTCATAGAATTTAGCTATTTCATGGCCTTTATTATTTCAAGAAATTCAAGCTTGTGATGTACTTGCTCTATGGGTCTTAATAAGGATGAGCGGTAGGTGGTTTTGACTGGACAGGCATGTTTTTGAGGCGCTGGGAATTACCTCAGCATCATTATTCAGCCTCTATTCAGGTTTTACCAGGTACTAGAGCACTCAGTGTCTAATACCAAGACTATTTAGTCACAGTGATATGCTACCTGCCATCCTCTGCAGCAGCAGATATACAAAATGCCACAAAATGTAGAACCGTGCTAAGTCTCAACATTGAATTCAATACTGACTGACAACCAAACCGCCACATGCCTGCGGAGGCAAAGCAATATAGCCTTTTCTGAAACAAATTCCCCACCGAGGTCACAGAGACCCTGCTGAGATTTCTCATGTAGAAAACCTCACAGTGAATTCTCTGGAGCTGTCGGATTGTCTTTATAGGTGAAAGATGACCTGGTGTATTTGCCCTTTTTTTTAGTTAAAGGTGCTTCAGATCCTTGTTTTTTATGATAATTTTTCAGAAATACAATGAAATTTGCTTTACTGGAAGAACATGTCGTTAATATACTGATTTGACTATACATGGGTTTGCTATTTCTATTAAACTCTTAGATCATCTGCCAAATATGGAAAATCTTCTTAAAGAGGTTCTCGTTGTATATGATCAAGGATCTTCCTTTCTACCCACACCGACAGTAAGAGTTTGTTAAGAAGCAGATTAATTATAGGATAATTTATTCTATCTCCCAGTTGTCTACTTTGTAATACAGCTAGCCAAATCTATAAAATCTTCTCTCATGAGAGAATAATTTTATTAAAATTAGAGTTTCTGTAACAGTCCATATAATTTTGTATACCTTGTCCTCTTTCCTCTCTGGGGTGCTTCTCTTGTCTCCACTGTACCAGATGCACCAAATGGTTTAGATGATTGGATTTATTCCTTGAAAACATTTTCAAGTTTACATAAAATACTTGCATCATTTCAGGGTTATTTTTTGTCTTAATTATCCCTAGAAAAGAGATGATTTCAAACTAGTTTTCTTTCACCATCCTGGTTAGTGTCTTTCCTTTCCTACCCAGCCAACTGTGAGATGGTTTCTAACAAACTATTTGGCTTTTTGCCTCAAGGAAGCAAATTTAGGAAGGTAATTCACTTTTAGTTGTTTGATTGTTTGTTTTGCACTAAAAGAATTGCATGGTGCTTCTAGGAGCAACCTGGAAATGGTGTTAGGATTATGTGTTCACTATTCTTCTCCACCAATGCAGATAATCAAAGGTTTGTTGTATTTTGCTCACATGGCCATAATTTTGAAACTTATTGTGGTGACCCTATGCCTGTAGAGTGGAGTACATGCCAGTTGAGTGAAAACGCGACCTGTGGGCAAGGCGTCAGGACCCGCCTTCTGAGCTGTGTGCGCAGTGATGGCAAGTCAGTTGGCGTGGACCAATGCGAGCAGGTAATTCATTTATATTTGTATCTCACACCTAATGCTTCGTATTTCTTAATATTGGTCTGTAAGCTCCATGATGCTTAACATAAATGATAGACTCTAATTTCTTCTCATCACAGCTCAAGTTTGATTAGAGTAAGAGGTACTAGTATAGTACAGTTAGATCTCACTAATTTGAACTTAGTCAAAATGACCAGAAAAGGGGAAATGGGTTCATTTTAAAAAATTTGTTTTTATTATTTTCAAGAATTTTATTTAGATATCCTTGCTTGCCAAAAGCTACTGACATGAAGTGACTCTAATAGTTAGACGTCACTCTTTGTATTGGGCAGCTGATTCATTAGCATACATGGTAAACACTGTACCTTCAGGTAAGATGAACAGTGACATTTGCTGTTAGAATACTCTGCTAATTTGCTTAGCAAATCACTTTCTCTGCTTTCCAAATACCATGTGTCCAACAAATATTCAAAGAATTTCAACGAAATCTTAAATTATTAAGCTATCTAGAATATCTGTATTTCGTGAATGGATCGTAAATCCCATATGATAATTTCTATTTTGCCCACTTGGCAAGTAATCATGCTAGACTCATTCATTTTAGCTTGATGTGGACATTGCTAACATTTAACGTGTATTGAATGTCAAAGTTTTCCTTTAAAGGAACACAAACACTGTGTGATTCCTATAGCAGAATTTTTCATTATTCTTTCTGTATTTCTTAGATGGTTTATTCTTTCACCAAGACCTTTTCTACCTTGGCCATTAGAAAACTTGTAGATTTTGCCCAGATGCTAGTTTCAGAGAGGACAAGAAGAAAATAAACTGTATCACAAAGTTTTCCTACTATTAAAACCATGATTATGTTTTTAGCCTAATTGATCTTTTGTTATGAACTTTAAATGGGTTGTTGATTTTGGTTTTATTCTTATTTACTTTTTAGCCTAGGTGGCTGTTAGTTTTGAGCTCTCTTTGAACGCTTAGCCCAGCCAGAAGTGTGCAGGTGCCTGAATTTAGCACTGAAGCATCTTCTTGCTTCCTTGCTGGCTGAGTGACAGGACAGATGTCTGTGTCATGTAACTGCCTGCTTTTCCAGTACCCTAATTGTAGATCTATTCTAGAGTAGAGGACTTTATAAAAAGAAATTTGGGCTGACAAACTTCTATTTTCGGAAGTAAGGACAACCATTTTTTCTATGATTGCCACCAATTTACATAGGAAAGAATATTTTTTCCCCACGAAAATGTAGAGATTCTTATCAAAGAATAAAGGGCAGTCTTTCCCATAAAAGGATAGTGATTTGATAGTGATGTGATTTGATTTGATGGTGATGTGATTTCTCCAGTAACATCATATTTTATTTCCATCTACAGCATAACTTGGAGAAGCCCCAGAGAATGAGCATGCACTGCCTGGTGAAATGTGTGGTCAACTGTCAGCTCTCAGGGTGGACAGCTTGGACAGAGTGTTCACAGACTTGTGGCCGTGGAGGTATGTGGGTTCCCTATGTTTGTTCCCACTAAACAGTTTAGTTTTTAAATATCTTTCAATATGCCATAGCTTGACAAATAGGCATAAGGCATGTTGGCCAACTGAAGGCAACATGAGGCTCACCAGAGAGGAAGAGAGAGAGAGAACCTGCCCTCATATCAGTCCTTATGGGTAGGCAGAGGTTGCAGAGCCGACGTGATAACAGTGGCACTTACCAGAGGGGCTGCTGGCTCTGTGGGACAGTGTTCATTCAAAAGGTCATAAGCTCAAGCAATTAAAAAACTGTTGGCCTCAGTGGTTTTTGGAAGAAGTGTGTATTATATAAGTAAAGCTGGCTCCTGTGTCAGACAAACCCCAGTGGCTTAGCTTAAATCACAGTGCTTAACGTCATAGGCTAGAGATAACTTTTCACTTGCATAAAGGGGAGGGGTAGTTTCTGTCTCAAAAAGTCAATCAAGGACACAGGTTGATGGAGGCCCTATCACTTTAATGTAAGCAGGTTTCTCTGGAGGGTGATATCCAGCAGGCTTTGTGAAGTTTTTGATGGGCCAGATTGGAAGTAGCATATGTCTCTTGCATCTATATTGTATTAGACAAAACTTAGTCCTATGTCCCCAGCTCAATGCAAGATGATAGGACAGGAAATGTGGTCTCTGGATAGCCAGTCACTCCTCAGCAACTCTATGGAGAAAAGGGAGTATGAACCTTCGGTGGACAAACAGCAGTCACTACCACAAGTTCCCAGAATCTCAGTGGCTGGGTAATGCACAATGACAAAGATTGCAGAAGGCAATCAATACTCAAAAGCTAGGAAAATGGAAACATCGATGGCACTTCAGCCACTGGGCTAAAGTAAAGAGCAAGATGTGTGTCCATGGAAGAGAGAGCAACAAGAGCATAACAGGAAAGCACAAAGCTGTGGTTGAGGATAGGACTCTGGTCCTGAATGAGAGTTACAACTTATCACAAGGTAAATGTCAGAAATTTGAAGTAGGAACCCAGAAAGAAATCCTGTCATATGATTAGGCATGAAGCACAGGAGAAGAGAAGAAGAATTGCAAGTTAAAGGGATCATGGAATTGGGGTGGGAGAAGGGGATACCAAGACCTGGGTCTGATTGCCCAACAGCATATTTGGAAGCAGTTTTCTAGAAGTCCTGTGACTGGACCACTGTCACTATGATATGGGCTCATTTCTAAGCTACTCACAAATGACTGCTGGGATTGTTGGTAATTCTCTGCCTTCACTGGGATTGTCTGAGTAACTGAGGTCGGGCCCAGCGTGGAAAAAGGGCTCATCAGTGAACTCAGCTGTAAGATCCTGGAGAAGGCAGAGTTGAAAACACTACCAAGGATATGTATTATGAAAATGTGGCTAAGGAAATTAAAAACTACTTCTTCAAAGAGCATCACTCAAAATGAAAATGGGACTCACAACAGCTAGTAATAAGAACATGCCATTTCCAGCACAATTGAGAGCCCCCAAAGAACCTCAGGAAACCAAATCGTAAGTCTTAGGATCAAGATTTCAGTGAGTGACCTATAGTTCCTCCTATGTTCTGGTTGGCAGCAATGGTATAGTTTCCAGTTGGGCTCCACTTTAAAGTTGGGTAAATCTAGGTTTAAACTGCAGCTGTTTAGGCAAATTACAATGTGTCTCAGTCTCAGCTTCTTCATCTATAAAATGTATTTCATGCACATATTGGAGGCATTGTTTTTGGTTTGAGAATTAAATGATATGGAGTACATGAAGGCATCTAGCACAGTAACTGGCACATCATGGAGGTTTAGTATATGTTAATTTCTGTTTCCATCTTCCTACGCACCAGTAGTAGGGCAAGTTGTTGGAGACTCCTTAGGATATTTTAAAGATTATTCCGTAGACTCAGTCACTCTCATCTCCTGCCTTCATATCTCATCCTTTTAACCCACTCAAAATCCATACACTACAGTCAAAGACTAAGTGATATTTTAAAACCACAAATCTGAACAAGTCTTTTCCTGTTGACCTGAGTTATTCATCAATTCATTTATCCTTTAAACAAATGCCTATGTGCCAGTTATAGTTCAGTGTATTGAGGATATAACAGTAGGGGGGAAAAAAGACAATTTTTCTATTCTCATGGAGCCTACAATCTGTTTGAGGGACAATAGACAGTAAACAAGTAGGTAATATTGCATGTTGATGAGTTCACTAAAGACTCATATAAATGAGAGGTGTCATTCTCATTAGCAATGTCTTTCATCAAAACAACTAGCTGTTCATCTCTCCAGTGGTGACCCACCTGGTTACCCCACAGCCATAAGCACTGCAGTCTTGTCTTCATGGGCCTCTGCTGGGATGTGTGACTCTCACAGTGGTAAAGTGTACCATGGAAAAGTAGAGAAAAGACAAAATCTTGTTTTGCGAGCATGGTCCACAAGGACTTACAGGCTCTCACCTGTGCCTGCCTCTGTATCCACATCACCATCCACTGTCCCATTGGCTCTCTCTTTCAGTCACATCCTTGCACGTACACTTCTTTGCACTTTGACACCTTTCCTCACATGGATCATTTCACCATCACCCTCACTACTACCTCTTGCTACTTTTATCATATATAAATTGAATTACTTTTAGTGTCTGCTTTTCTATGGGCCCACAGACCCTGTTTGGGTTCTTCATGGGGGAATCCCTGAAGTTCCCATGAAGCACAGTACCTGGCCCATTGGAAGGATTTCGGTGAATATTTGTCATTGTCCATGTGGCTCTGGACCATAGGGGAAAGCTTGAAGGGAAAGACTTTGCAGACTGGATCATGAGCCCACAGGCCTCCAGCACCTGCAAGTGGCCATTTTCCTCTCCCTCTGACTAAATATATAAGTCTTAGGTACCATTTACCCAAGAACATGTTCAATGCAAGGAGACAGAAGATCTGTTTATTGTTATTTTTGCCTGAATGTCCTAATTCTGCCACTTTATCAAGTTAGTGAAATATGACAGGCTGCTGTATTATACTAACACACTACCTTTAAAAAGAAGACCCCAAATTGTAAGTTTAGTATTAAAATATCATTTTAATTTTTCAAGCAGTTCTGTTAGTGATGGAGACTTCTCGGACCCTTTTTTCTACTAGAAAAGCAAACAAAAAACATTTACAAATCTGAATTCCACTATTGAAGAATTCTAGGCAATTAGAATTTGAACTTAAACCACCTTTTCTAATCCTTAGAATAATAAAGACAACCAATCGAAGATTTCCTAAGGAGAGTTATTGTGTGAACTGAGGCATAGGGAGACTAGGGAAGAAATGTTAACTACTTGGAGAAATCAAGTTTCATAAAGCATTTGGAAATCATCTAACCGGAAACCATCGGCACATAAATATGGCGTTAGTTATAAATCACCTCTAGCTAATTTCTGAGGGCCTAGGAGGATAACTTCTTGAGAATCTCTTCTTGACCTTTAGATGTCTTAATCTCCTAAACTGTCAGATATAATAATGACTTTTAAAAAATATTCCATAATCCTGATATGTGACAAACCCTCCAGGGATCTAAATGTGTATGTATTCCATCATTTCTTTATTCATTCAACAAAGATTTATAAAGTTTACACCTATTATCCTGGCACCTAATGGTGTCCTCTTTCATTGTCAAAAGCGGCAGTGTGGAAAATAAATTATATGGTGACCTTGCTATTTTGAGTTCTGTTCTTGAAGGCAGGGCTGTAGAAGAAATTGATTCGTATATTGTGCAAATACTTATTGGAAGCTTTCTGAGTACCAGGCCTTCTCCCAGGCGCTGAGGAGACACTGTGTATGGAACAGATAAAATCCTAGGCAAACGAAATCACCTCACTTCATAAAACTAATATCTAGTGGAAAGCTGGATGGTGATGACTTGACAGAGAGAGAGAAAATAAACAATAAACACAGAAGTAACGGATGGTGATGAGTGCTGTGATGAAGCAAAAACAGGTCATGTGCTGGAGAATAACAAGCATCTAGCAGGGGAGTGAGGGATAGAGAAAGAAAGGCCGCTGAGGAGGTGATATTTATGTCAAAATTGAATGACAAGGTGCCATAGATCTTGTAACAAGTGTTTTCTTTACCAGGCTACTCAGGGTTCAATCCCACAAGCATTTTTTGACTACCTATTGTAATCAAGGCTCTATATCAGGACCTACAAACCAAAATATAAAAATGAGTATTTTTCTAATTATATTTGTGTCCAACCTCAATCTTAAAAAATAAATTGAACAGTACGAAGAAGAGGACACAGGGCCCTTGAATTTTTAAGCATCTACTCTCAGGACACTGCTGAGACAGCCTACACCTGACTAGCCCCCAAACTCTTCCCCATTCCAGACTTCCAGCTCCAGTCTTCCAGCTCCATCTTCTCTGATCACCACTCCCCAGGCACATAGTAATATTTCTAAGATGAGAGAATGCTATATTTAAATGATGCCTCAGTTCTCACACAGTACAACTTAAAAACAACAAGCAAGTGACAACCAAATGCAGAAATGTATGGCACAGGTGAACTTGTTTCTTAAAAGAGACCAAACTCTGGAGCTGAAAAGTTTGGAAATCTGTCTCTTCTACGACAGTGTGCCAGCAGCCATCTTTTGTATGAGCTGCTTTCTTTTTTCTTGCTCGTCGTGGCAATGAGGCAGAGTCCACAATAGGAGACAGTTTATTTAGTCACATTAAAGTGGGCAAGCACGTGGCGTGGAGTCTGACTTCAGCACCTGCGGCTCTTGGCCAACTTCTTTATCAAAGGCAAAAGTTCACACAATTGTCTCTGTTTATGAATTCACTGGGTTGTTGGCAAAACCTGGTGTGCTCAGTGTCCCGGATGCTTCCCCACAAGCCACACGCGCTTCACCATCAAACCCACAGAACTACAGTGATCTGAGGGGAAATTGTGAAGTGAGCTCTTCCTTTATTTTCCAAGCGTCTGGATTGCCTCTTTAATGTCCGCCTGATGCTTGGCATATACTTTCTAATTGTGTTAAAG